CGGGAGTGCGGGGCGCTGCGGGCGTGCCCAGGTGGGCCGGCGCCGCGGGACGCTTCCCGCCCGCCCAGCGCCGAGCTCCGGTCCCTCCCGGGCCGAGGAGGAGCCTCCCTTCCTGTGTAAACAGCCCGGCCCGTCTGCTGACCCGGTCCGCGAGCGCCCGCGCCCTCTCTGCCCCGGGCCGCGCTCTCCCCTCGCGGGTACAAAGCGGCTGTTGTGGCGGCCTGGGCGGCGCGAGGAGGCGCGGAGCGATGCCGCCGGGCGCCCTGCTCCCACGGACTCGCGGGTTCTCTGCAGCCCACGCGAGGCGCTCCGCCGGCCGCGGGGTCCCTTAGAGAGCCCAAGTTCTAGCGCTCAGGTCCTGACTACTTTCCTTTAGAGGTGTGTCCCGCGGGTCCCTCCCGAGCCAGCGCCAACCTGAGGGGAGACCCACATCCGAGAGCATGGCCCACCTGGGACCTGGACGAGGCCAGGGTCTGACGTACCCCACGCCCGACGGACACTGCGAGCCGCGCACAACCCTGACCGTGGGGTTCGCCTCAGCCTCACGCAGCCCCGGGCTGGCGGCTGTGCCAGGCACGCTCGGTCACCAGGGTTAAGGATCCTGAGTTTAGAGTGGCAGTTGGGAACCCTTCCTGGGAAGGATGCGCGGTGTGGACCTGCGCTGGCAGGCAAACAAAGAGCGTAAACCCTTCCCTTACCCGTAGGAAGTGACTGCGTTGGGGTGCGCGCTTCACTTTCAAGCCCGGGGTGCTGGTCTGCTTGGAGCCAAGTGGTTGCCTGGCTGTGGGAGAGTACCGCTTCCCTGTGACTGGAAGGCAGGCGAGGTTTCCTTACGGGAGCGGAAGAGGGCTCTGTGTAAACAAAAACTCCGTTCAGGCCTTAATTCAAACTTAATATTGTGGCAAGGTTTCTTTATGTGAAAATAGTCACCACAGAGCTCAGTACACCAGTGCATCCCAGACACCTAAGTGGTGACCAGCACCCATCACTGACTGGGTCGCTGGGAAATGAGGGAGGAGGGAGATGTAGCCTATGTCGCCTTGGAGTACACACGTAGGAGTGCCCTTGTCAGCTGACCCTTGCTTCACAGGACTTTAGTGTAAAATTACATCTTTTTTTTTTTTTTTTTTTAGTGGACTATTGAGACAGTAGTTTTTAATTTTTCTTGGCAGTGTAAAAACCCAGCAACATTTTACTTATTTCTCTTCTGCTTCTCTTTGTCTTGTTTTTTCAAATCTTCATGTTCTGTGAAATTCAAGTTTGGGAAATGCTGAGGAGATCTTCTAGTTTGACATTGTGTGATTCTGATAAAAGCTCAACTATTTTCAGTTGCAGAGAATTTTTAAAATCTTTGTTGTCCATATTTGCTTCATTGAGTTTACATACAGTCTCACAAGGGTCTTCCTTTTGCAGATCAGCCCAGCAAGACAAATGACCTGCACTCTGCCCTGCCGTGGCTTGGGAGTAGTGACCAAAGGCCGTGGTTTTTTGGTCTGTGCCCTTTATCGTGCATGACTCAGCTCAGACAGGGAGAAACCACTAAGAAGGTTCATTCCAATGCCTCCAGGGTTGCTTTTCCCCTTGTCCATCTGTGCTTTCTTGTTATGGTTGTGCCAGCCAGAGCAGGTTGCTCTAGCGTCGTCCCCCCCCCCCAAGTTTGTGAGGTCAGAAGGAGCCTGTGTGATTTCTCCCTGTTACTGGTGTTCCTGAATCAGCTGGACATGTTCTGTATTTTTTTCATCCTCCCCCCCCCTTTTTTCCTTGAAGCACTGCTGCAGGTACTTTGTCCAGAGATTGTTTCTGCCTTACTACTAGAAACACAGTTTGAAAAAACAAAAGTTACCCAAGGAAAGAGGTAACTTGCAGACCCAAGCCTGCCTGCCTGGGTGTCCCTAGAGAGACCATGGGTAAATCCAGCAGGAAGTTGACCTAAAGGCCCTGCGAGGCTCACAGCCATGTCCAGGAGCCCCTGGACCCTAGGACAAAACCAGGGCCCTAATTGGGGTGAGGCCTCTTCGTGCCACCTTGCTCTTTGAACAGAGGGCAGAGCTGTTGTGACCCCACTGCATGGCGAGAGTCAGGTTTGTTATGACAGTGTATTTGCTAAAGCCATCAAATGTTCTTTTAGCAAATGCTGTGCAAATTAGAATGTGCTGAGCACTAAAAGAGCCCATTATTTTGTTTAGCGGACTCATGTTGGCACCACCTTCCCTTCATAGCCCCCTACCCACACCACTGTGGGATTGGGTGACCATCTGTGATGGCCCCAAGTTGGCCGGGTTTGCAGCTCCCTCCAGGCAGCTGGCCCCTGTGGGCTTGGTCTGCAGACTGTTGTTTTAACATTTTAACTTCATCCTTGAGTCTGGATTTTCTAAAGGAGACTAAGGCAGAAAGGGCAGGGCCTAATTAACTCAATTAGTATTCCTCTCCTACTTGTTCTCCATGCTATTTAGCTACTGAGGCAACGGAGAATTAAAATATCTAAGTGTTTGGCAGAAGGCCTTTTGTGCCTGCCTTAGTAACAACTTTTTTCTTCATCAGCCTGGTTGAGAAAATATTCTGAGAAGTTGTAAGAATATCAGTACTGTGGGACAGTTACACAGTATTTAAGTAATAGCATTCCTTTTCCATGGCCACATACAGCTGGGCTCATGGACAGGGGCTCTTGGACAGGTATTTCCAGTGTCTGAGACTAGGGCCTCGTGAAGCCCATGGCCATGGTTTGTTTTTTGTTTGCCCAGTTGCAGTGGGATTAGTGGCCTTTCTCAGTGCAGTGACCCATTTGTGAAGTTCCTTCCGGCTCCAAGTACGCATTGTCTGACTCTAGGGCTGCTGGGGGAGGGCTGAGATTCTGTTGGCCCATCCTGCCAAGGGTGCATTGGGGTGGTCTGGCACCCTCTCCTTGCTAGGTCCCCTCTCCACTTTGCGAGGGTGGCATAGTGGGGACCACCTCCTGCACTTGACCTCTGTAGCTATTCCTGCCTCTCCCTCTGTGATCTTAAACTGCAGGTGGATTCTGGAGTTCATCCGCCATTGGCTTCTACAAGTCCTGTCAGGTTCTGTGAGTCTCCCCACTCCTCCCTGCCTTTCTGCCAGCTTCCCTTCCTGTATTCTGGCACCTCCACTGCCTCCATCTCCTCACAGCTCCATGGACCCTGCCTCCTGTCTGGAGCACTTTCCTCTGGCCTCACAAGTCTCCTCTCTGTTGTCCTGCCCTGCCCTTGCCTGCCAACCCTGCTTCTCCATCCAGCTCTCCCAACTCCTTCCTTCATTTCTTCCTGTTCATCTTCATCTCTGTCAACCAAGGAATGAGGTCTGTGTGTGCAGGGGGGATGGAGCGGGAGGCAGCCCATCCTCCCCTGCCTGTGCCTTTCTGCAACCAGCCTCGAAGTCAACTTGCATGTGGCTTATCAGGAGATTTTCTAGGGGAGAGAGACAGAGGGACAGAGGCCTCAGAACAAATCAGGCAGCAGTGGCTGGGGTACCTGACAGGGGCCCTTTGCTGCCATGTTCTGGGAAGCAGAGCAAGGGCTGAGGGACTCACTGGAGGTGTACCCAGCTGCTTCCCTGGCCCCCTCCATGGCTTCAGTGGCCTTAAAAACCTTAAACAAATTTAGAACGGTTTTAGGTTTATAAAAAAAATTGAGACTAGAGTCCCCACATACTCCATACCCAGTTTTTTATGTTAATATCTTATATTAGTGTGGTGCATTTGCTACTTCGTTCAGATTTCCTTAGTTTAATCACTTCCTCCTCCTTTGACTTTTCCGACACAGCCTTGCTCTGTGTCCAGGTTCGCCTCAGACTTGAGATCCTCCTGTCTCAGCCTCCCAGCTGCTACTAGTGTTAAAGGCATGTGCCACCATGCCTGGCTTGGTTTTGACTTTGAGGTATTCTAGGGTCCCATCTAGGGTACCCTGTTAACTGGACTGCCATGTCTCTTTGGGCTTCCTTTGGCTGGGAGAGTTTCTCTGCCTTGTTTTGGATGGCCTTGATGGTTTTGATTACTGATCAGTTGCTTTGTAGGCCCTGCCTCTGTTAAGGTTTGGCTGATACTTTTCTCATAATTAGGTGGAATTACAGGTTTTTATTTTGTCTTGTGGTTTTGGACTTGGACCCAAGGCACTGAGCTGGATCGCTGGCCCTTATTTTTGAGGCTAGATCTCACTAAGTGTCTGAGTTGTCCAGGATGGACATCCTCCTGTGTCGGCCTTCCAGTGTTGAGATTACAGCCGTGTGGCATCAGCCCAGCATGTCATTTTTATTTTTGTCCCCCCCCATAAATCATTTTTAAAAAGCATAACTAGGCTACATTGAACAGTCTCCCTTTCTTATCTCCTTTCAGCCTAGGGTATTTCCCTGTGGGCCCCTTTCTTCCTACACAGACTACTTTTGTTAGGTTCCTTGTGTCAGTTATTCTGTATACATGTGACAAATGTACCTCCCTTATTTTTATTTGAAAGCAATAATAAATATGCTCTTCTATGTCTTGCTTTTAAATTTAGCAGTATATGGGGGTAAGCCTCTTATCAGTATGCAGAAAATGAGCTGCTCATGCTATTTTTTTTTTCTTGTACCAGGATTCGAACTTAGGACTGTGTATTTTCCAGGCAGGTACTTATGCCACTGAGCTACCTCCCTGGCCCATCCTTTTTGATAGCTGCATAGTATTCCATTGTAAGAATAGCAGCTTCAAATAGAAGTCATATCTGTAACTCCAGTATTGGGTGTTCAACAGGTACCTGAGATATGGAAGGGCCATCTGAGATGGAAACTGACTCCAGTGGAGACTTCCTAGGGCAGTGGTGGTGAGCTTAAGGCATATATGTGTTACTGTATTTTTCTTTTAAGACAAAGATATTAATCTAGAGTTGATTCTTCTAAACTGAAACCTCAGCACTCAAGTTTAATTGCACTGTTGGCACTTTGCAATAAGTAGGTCTTAGGTTACAGTTTGGCACTGGGTCTCTAAAAGGTTTGTTGTCATTGTTGTAGGCTATACTTATATTTCATGGTAACATCTTTGGACATAGGATTACATATGGTAAAAAATACAGTGTTCACATTTTTAAAAATGTTTGTTGCATTAAAAAAATCTTGGCGTTATTTCCCCAAGAAATAAATGTACTCCCTCACTTTAGACTCCTTTATCCTATTGTGCTTGCCACTCTCTGAGGCAGTTCTAGATGCCCGGTTTCGTAGAGGTCTTTGGTTGTGCTGGCGTGGTGGTGTGGCTGCCTTACGGCCATTTGGACTTTTGGGAGGAGCCAGAAGTCTCGCAGCGCCAGATCTGGTGAATGGTGGGTGATGTTTTTCAGTGCTGCCTTTACACTGGATGGCACTTGGCATCAGCATTCACTCAATTTTTTTTTTTTAAATCACATTTCATAGTGACATCGATGAAAGAGGACTTTCAGAGCTGCTTCTGAAAGCTACAAGAAAGATAGAATAATTGAAGCAAGGGGAAGTGTTTTGAAGGGAGTGAATGGCAATATGTCTTTTACTGTAGCAAGTTTTGAAAAATGTAAACTTTACCCATGTGTTTTGAGGACCCCTTGTAGTTACCAGATGCTGTACTGGGAACCTTTGTCTGTCTTAGGAAAAGTGTAACAGACACAGTAAAGGTTTGAGGAAAAGCATCCCATTGCCTTGTTGCCTTCAAGCCAGGAAGGCAATTCCAGCCTGGCACCCACTTATGTTGTTCCATCGAATGTGTTGATCAGGAAACCCCAGTTGCTGGATGTATGCTTCAGCCAGTGATCTGACCTTGGATATGTGGTGGGTGAAGCTGAATGAGGGGTCCAGGCAGGAGCCCACTGCCAGAAACCAGGCCCGAAGCCTGGGCTATTGGAAGTAGAGGGGCTGGCAGGAATGGTTGGACTAGGAGAAGCATTTCTTGAAGGAATGGTCAGATGGACGTGGGGGCAGCCTCGCTATGATTGATGAGAGGGGTGAGTCAGTGTGTTTCAGAAGTGGAGTTTAATTTTAGATTACAGTTTGCAGTAAGCCCTGGACTGGATAGTCATGAAGCCAGAGGGCACAAGGTAGTTGAAGTTGGGCTGGAGCTGTCACCACAGAGATAGCAACTCAGAGAAGATGTGGCCGCTGTCTGGCCACTGTAGCACCTGTCTGTGTGCCCTAGACACAATACTGTGAGTTTGCAAACGGCAGCTGTGTCATTGCTTCCTTCCTTCCTTTTGGAAATACTTATTGGTGCTCAGTGACTCATTCAGTCAAATTCAAACTCTCTGAAATATTAATAGGTAGAGAGAGGAAAGATGCCAAAGCGAATAGATCTGGCGCATGGCTTTGGGTTGTGGAACTCCTGTCTGCTGCCTGGTACCTGGTATTCTTGGGGTGCAGGGTCTGGGGTATCATCTGGGTAACTGTACGCCTCCCCCTTCCCCCCAGTCTAGTGCTCAGTGTTGAGTATGTGCTTAGGATAGGGTGTCTAATATTTGGATTTGTCCCACAGTACCCAGATTGATTGACTGATTGATTAAATTGAATCTAGAGCCTTCACACTGGCCTAAATCTTCAGCCCGCTTTTAAACTTTTTTTATTTTGAGACAGGTTCTTACTAGGTGGCCCAGGCAAGACTCACATTTGAGATTCTCCTATCTCACCCTCTCAGAATACTAGAACAGGCCTGTTCTATCATGCCCCACCTGGCTCAGCAGCACAGTGGAACTACTTTATTTCATGTGAATATGGCATAATATTAGAAATAATTGGTACTGCAGCATCAGTTACTTTTATTTTTCTGTTACTTGGAATTGACCTTATGGCCTCAGGCTTGCCAGGCAGGCACTGTGCCACTGAACTATATCCCCAGCCCAATTACATTTATTTTTATGGTTGTTTAGTGTATTTCATACTAGGTGCCTGTCATATCTGTGGAACCCCAGGTTTTTGAGGTGGGTAGACCAGATGACCAGAGACCAGTCTGCTCTGTCTTGGGGATGAGGCATTCTTCCTATCCTGAGCTCTAAATCCCCAGCCCATGGTTCCAGAACTCAAGCACCAGTCTCTGGTAATAAGGAAGTTTGTGAATTTATATGTTGAGCAGAATCCTAAGTAAGACCCTGATCTTAAATTCTTTTCGGACCTGGGGGCTTTAGAGGTCTGTGCCAGTACACCTGGAGCTCAGAGTGTCACAGCAGCCCTGGGTTACCAGGGAGGCCTCCTGGCCTTGCATGAGAGCCTGCTGCCTGGACTCCAGTGACCCTCCTGGTTGTAGAGTGGACTCCTTGTTCCAAGTCACTCGCTTTTCTCTGGATTTTATCTGTATAATGAGGGGACCTAACCGGCTTCCCTTAGAACAATTCTAGCTACAAGCTTCTGCAGTTCTGTTGTTTTATGGAAAGATTTTATACATCCAAAAAGAAAGAAAAAATGTCACGGGGAGCTGAGTCTGTGCTTGATAAGCTTGAAGAAAGGAGGAAAGTTAACTTTTATTCTAGATTTGATTTTTTTTTTTTCCATCCTCAGTGGTTGCTGGCAAGGTAAGGGGATTTGACTAAAAAATAAAATTGACCTTTTGAACCCCGTTTCCAGCACACACTCTGATTTTTAAAGGCTTCCATATCTGTTTGGAGATCACTGAGTGGATGTTTTAAAATTAGAGTGGAGGTTGTCGGTTTGAGTGGGGGCAGGCAGGCCCGGTTTCCCAGCTCACTGTGTTCTAAGACCTTGGCCTGACCTGGGAGGCCCCTTCCTGCCGGAGAGTCACACGTGGCGGGCACTCAGCTGGCCACTACAGGCCTGGCAGTGAGAGGGCATCTGAGGAATCCTGCACTGAGGCTCTATGCTCCTGGGCGACAGGCCCATGGAACCTGACAGGGCAATTTCCAGGGCATGAGGGGGCCCGGGTTTCAAGACCAGGGCTTCCGGCTGGCGGAAACCACTGTTCCCTTTTGGCTCTAAAAGCCTTCTCCCTCCCTTTCCAGCATCTCAGAGCCTTGCCAGCTCTCCTCCCCATCTCTGCTGCCATTCTTGCCCCAACAGGTGTCTCTTCTGTCTTACATGCAATGCAGTGTCCTACTGTCTGGTCTGTTCCCCTGCTGTGTGGAATTTCTGGGTTTTTTTGTTTGTTTGTTTTTAATCATAGTGTGTGAGGTGAAATCAGGGGAATGTGGTAAGGTGGGGGAGGAGAGCACACAGTGGATTAATTTTTCTCCACAGCTGAGCCTGCCTTGGGGACCCCTCCCTATTTGTGGAGTAGGAGGAGAAAGACTGTCCTGAGTTTGAAATAAGTAATTTTTACAGTAAAAAGGTAGTTCAATTTCCTCGTAATCTTACTTTCTGCTTATTTTTTTAAAATCAGGTATGGATTGTATATTTTTTCAAAAGCTTTTTCCATACCACCAGGTAATGTTACGGGTTTTTTTCTCCTAGACCTGTTGGTAGATGTTTAATCAGAGGATTTCCTTTACATTAACACAACTTATATTTCCTCTGTGAAGGGCACAGTGGTTTCTTCCTTTATACTAGATTGTGAAGAGATACCTGATGTAGCATTTGCTTTGTTTATACCTGAATGAAACTCTACCTCTTCCCCCCCACCCCCAACCAGGGATTGAACTCAGGCC